AAAGAATAAAAATGTACTGACCCCAAACTTTTGAACTGTAGTGTATATTGTTAGAAAAGAGTTTAACTTTTTATTCATCAAAGAATCCTGAAAAAAAGTATCACAGGTTCCAAAAAAATATTAAGCAGCACAACAATTTCAAAATTGATAATACATCAGTATATTAGAATGATTTCTGAAGGATCATGTGACACTTTAGACTGGAGTAATGGCTGATGGAAATTCAGCTTTGCATCACAGAAATAAATTATATTAAAGTTATATTAATATATTAAAGTATATTCAAATAGAAACCATTATTTTATATTGTAATAACATTTGACAAGATTACTGTTTTGTTCTGTATTTTTGATCAAATAAATGCAGCCTTGATGAGCATAAGTGACTTCTTTAAAAAACATTACAAGTCTTACTGATCCCAAACTTTTGACCGGTAGTGTATATATATATGTGTGTGTGTGTGTGTGTGTGTATTAGGGCTTGCATAGACTACTTGAACCACTAGTCGGCGCTGTCAGAAACAATCGACTACTCAAGCATGCATTAACCATAATGCATGCAACAGAGTTTGCAAATACGACGTGAATTTTAGGATTACAATATTGCGTGTAGCTGTTACTTTCTATGACTTTCTCTATGTTGCATGTAAAATTTAAATATGTAATGTAATAATTAGGGGTGTGCCCGAAGCCGAATACCTTATTCGGAATGGCATGGGTAATGGCTTCAAAAACGAATAACGGATAAGGAATAATTCTAATAAGGAATAACATTCGGCTGAGGCTGGCACATTCTGGTGTTTGCTAGATAACAAGTGAGCCAGGGGATCAATGCAATATTATACACAGACCTCTAAAGTCACTCAATAATGAGTGTGTGAAGTGAATGAATGCAAATTTTATGAATGAAAAGAGCGAATATCAAACACCGCATTGCTATTGCCTCTCTGTGCATCTCTCAGAAAAAAAGAGCTTGGCAAGAGTAATTAATATCAACTAAAATAATACTTCATGCACATTCTATTATTTGTGTATATTTAAAAGGCAATGATTTAAACCTTAGGCTACGATATGATACACGAATGAATGGAATAAACACAGCGCGCTCACCAATCAAACAGCCGCGTTGCGCATCTCAGTCTCTCAAAAACCAAACCAGCTATCTCTCAATAGTAGGCTAATAATCAACTAAGATACAGATACATTTTCTACTAGGCCTACATGTTTACTACTTTATCTTTTGCTAGTTTGCGTGGCACACACACATTTGTTTAGTGAAGTAAAAAAAAGACTCACTTAAAGAATTCTGCGTAATGAAAATGTGCGTCTTGAATTAATTCATTCATGTTCAATTGATCACTAAACGTTTGTCATGACATCTCTCTGCTTGTATGATAAATATATTTTTAGAAATTAATAATTATTTTAGTTTAACACGGCATATTTGTTCAGTGATTAAAAAAAAAAAGATAGTCAAATCGGTCTTATCAAGTAACCGTACGCAGTTCCACCTGGTTTTATCCGAATACAGATACGAATAATTTTGTGATTCTTACAGATAAAAATACAGATTCAAATACTGGCTGTTACATGAAAATTAAAATGTAATGTCATAATTATAAAGTTTTGACAATTTACGTATGTTATGTAATTGTTGCATTAGGCTATGAAATACTAAACGTTTATTGATAAGAGCTATTTCATGTCTTTTCATTTACAGCATGAACCACGAGTAGTCGAGTAACTCGAGTATTTTTTAAATAAGAAATCGACTAGCAGAAATCAGTAGTTGTGCAACCCCTAGTATATATATATATATATATATATATAGAAGGTTACTTTAGAAATGTAACTGAATACAGATTACAAGTTACCCTATTTAAATGTTTTCCGTTTTTAAGTAAATGCATCATTTTTTTTTATTATTCATCAAACTCATGAAAAAAAAAATCACAGTCTGTAAAGCAGCACAACTGTTTTCAACACTGATAATAATAATAAATGTTTCTGCTTGTTTTGCAATCGAATCTTTTGTTATGTTGAGTGAGACGATGCGCATCAATGTTTTAGTGGAAAAAAGCTTTTCAAACAATCCTCATCTCTGCCGAACACCAGCGGTGATGCACAAAAGCAGCTCTAGTTGTGGCGGCATGAGAGAGCTCGAAAATGACGGAGACGTGTGAAGTAAAAGTGCAGAAAAGCAGTGTCTATTTCATGCACAACTTGAACAAACCACAACAGGTAAAAGCTGTCAGCTGTGTGGACTGTTAACATTTCTCGTTTACAATCGATACTAATATGGCTCCTTGTTATAAAGATGTTTATATCTATATGCTGTGTTGCGTTAACGCGTGGACTTGATTATATTTATAGCGCACTTGCCGTCCAATAATCGCAATAAGCTTTGTGCTTTGATACCTTTTAATAAACAAAGTATCAGTTTTAAAATTCTGCCAAATTCAGAACGAAATTCGAACAATAAATACGGTTTTGGCACTCCTTAATGCGGCAGGAGCGATAGCTTTATCGCCTCAGTTCAAGCGGCATGTGAACCCATAAGATCTTTCTCCTTACTACTATAGTACGAAATAAACATGAATGAACATCAAAAGGTATAATACAAGATAGCTTACTGAAATGTTTCATATAATCGCTCATTCAGTGTTTCAAACTGCGGAAAACGCGTAATGCTTGTAAACAATGCTATGTGACAATACATTTACCTCAGAATAATCATTCGGCGTCCATGAGCTCATCAGTCAGCTAGAAAGATAACTATAAAGAGGAGTTTTTTGCTAAATATATGCTCTATATTGCATATTCATATTTTTTACTTTACCTGTTGTCTACATAAGAAACGATGCAAGGAGCAAAAGATGAAACTCAACACCTCCTATAAGATTGCATGTTACTAATGAAGAAAAACAGACTGGATGTGTGCAAGACATGTGACTACATTTATAAGATGCATTGAGGAGGAGCCCAAAGTACACTCAGTGGCCAAGTGATGCTGACTGATTATGGTCCATTAATATTGGCACAGATTCTGTGTCATAAACAGTTCTTTGTGACTGCATATAGTTCTCAATTTGGAAAAGACATTCAGTGGTCACTTTAAGTGAACCTTAGTTCCCAGGACATCTACCAGATGGATTCAAATGCTGATGCTGTAAGAGGAGGGCAGACATAAACACATGACAGTATGACGGACATGTTAAAGTGTTAAATAAATAAATAAAACCTGTTTATTCTGTGGCACCTACAAAAAATATATATTTTGGTGCCTAATTTAGTTTTTTTGGGGGGGAGTTTTTGTCTGGAGCGCTGACTTCTGTAATGTAACACTTCCTAGTGAAACAGGATATTTGGCCTAAGGGACATCCGCAGAAAAGGAAAGTAGATTCACGGGAAGATCAAATTACTACGTTTTGATTAAAGATTCATTTACATTTTTTCTTTGGAATAGCCTGCACTTGAATAGTTGTTTACAGTAGCACTAGGAAAAAAGGCATGCTGTACACACTAAATGAAGCCGAAGAAAATATGGTTTGTGGAAACGAATCCAACATCCTTCTCAATATTTTTGGTGCTGGTGGTTTTTGCTTTTTTTTTATGTTCAATAAGTTCACTTATATAACCATTCAAATGTTTGGCATCAATAAGATTTTTTTTTTTTTTTTAAGAAATTAGTACTTTTATTCAGCTAGGATGTATTGAATTGATCAAAAGTGAAATTTTTTATTTCCAATAAATGCTTTTCTACTCCTCAAAGAATCCTAATATATATATATATTGATAATAATCAGAAATGTTTCTTGAACAGTAAATCAGCATATTAGAATGATTTCTGAAGGATCATGTGACACTGAAGACTGCAATAATAATGTATATCATTATAGAAAAATATATTAAAATAGAAAACAGTTATTTTAAATTGTATTTTTTTGTGTGTTTTTAATCGAATAAATGCAGCCTTGGTGAGCATAAGGGACTTCTTTCAAAAACATTAAAAAAATCTTACAGACCCCAAGTTTTTGTACAGTAGTGTATATACTAAACCGTGGTGTTATTTACACGTGTCTATTGTGCATCTGCAGCATCCAACATACGTGCAGGCCCTGTTCGACTTCGACCCTCAGGAGGACGGCGAGCTTGGCTTCAGACGCGGAGACTTCATTCAGGTCCTGGACAACTCTGACCCCAACTGGTGGAAGGGTGCCTGTCACGCCCAGACGGGCATGTTCCCACGCAACTACGTCACGCCTGTCAATCGGAACATGTAAAGGAAAAAAACCAAGCGATTAGTGAATAAATTGTAATTAACGGCCCCTCACATTCACATACAATCAGACTACCCTACATCTCCCCGTCAACACCCGTAAAGTCCTGTGAAATTTAAAGCGGCACAGAGGAATGGAAATCATGACTGAAAACAAGGAGAGGACAAAAAAACGTAGCGGAGAGGCTGGATGTTTCCGCCTCTGCCGTGGTGCCCGGGCGAAACCATTATTCCTGAGAATCGTGATGTCTTCATGAACGCTTGCAGTCCGGACTGAGCTGTTAGGGCGAAGGAAAGGCTGAATCCTAGCTTAGTAAGACACACATAAATTAAAACAACAATGATTCTGTCTGTAGATTCATCCTGCTGCTTCGGGCTTCTTTTTTTTGTCTGCGAATATAAATTTTTTTTTTGGCTGCATGTTTAAATCTCTTTATAATAGTAAATCCTGAAGCTGTTTTTAAAAAGGAAAAAAAAAAACATTCTAAAAATATATTAAAATGTAAGCGTAAAAACTTGCAAACGCATTGTACATCTGGGCTGTGGAAGAAAAAAAATCACCTATAGAGAGAATCCATTTTTTAAAGAATATATATATTATATATTTGTATGTGTCTGTCTGTTTTGCCTTTTCAACCCATTTTATTTTTTCCCCAAATTGTAAATTATGTTCGTTTTTTTGGGGAGGGCAGGTGAAACTGAGTAGCTCTGAGGCGTGCTAATTTTATGAGCATCTCAGATGTAACACCGTATTATTTTACGCATCATGTATTCCATTTGACATCATTCTTGTTTTAGAACCAATAGGGGAGCAGATCCTTGGCGACAGCGATTCATCGCCGAGGAGCTTCCGATCGTGCAGGAGTTGATCTAATGTGAAAAACCAGGCGGCTAGCCACCATTTTAAGCCAATGTATTTATTGCAGCCACTTTTTGTCTTGGGATGTGAATGTAGCCGACATCACTCTCCTCACGACGGTCGTCAGATTTCACCACAGTTGCATGATTTCAGAGACGCATCTGTTCACGGTGTCCATGTCGAAACGCTGTTCACGTAACGAAACGATTTAAAATCATGAGATTTGGTGTCGAAAAACTGGCGGATGCCAGCTAAGCCAGTAAGAAGTAAGAAACCAGAGAGTTTTGTTATATTTGAGTTGTCACATTGAGTAATGTGATGCGTTCGGTTTGTTTTTTTGGTTTCTCTTACCTCTTTGTCTTTTCAGTGTTGTATGTTTTAGCTCTTATGTATTTTGTTTCCTCCACGTGTATTACTGACCCCCTCCTTCTCCCCTCCGTTTTTTTTTTTCCTGTGATGTTTTTTGTTCTCTCTGGATTAGTGCCTTTTTCTCTGGTGTGTGACAGTGTCTCTGGCTTGCTGCTTTAGCCTGAGCGTTGGGCTTCGTCAGACCCGCAGTGACAAATCATGTCCTCTTTCTCCTCCTGAACACACCTGCACACAGTCGCTCTTATTTAAATATCTCGCCTTTTTCTGAACTTTTTTTTTTTTTTTTGCCTTTTTCCTTGTTTCTTTTGAATAAATAAAAAGAAAATTGTAAAAAGAAAAAGAAAACGTGTTGTGTCAGATACTTTATTTTGTGTGAATGCGTTTTTTTTCTAGCTTCGTATCATATATTGCATTTTCCTTTTATGGTCAGTTTTTTTTGCAAATGTAGGTTTAGGAGAGAAACCAAATATTCTTGTGCTTCTGCACTTACTGTTGCTCTAAACATGTTTGCACACTTTAAAGGGTTAGTTCACCCAAAAATGAAAATTCTGTCATTAATTACTCACCCTCGTGTTGTTCCAAACCCGTCAGACCTTCGTTCATCTTCGGAACACAAATTAAGATATTTTTGATGAAATATGAGGGCTCTCTGACCCTCCCATAGACAGCAAGGTAACTACCACGAAGCTACGAGAATGTTTAGCTAAAAGAATAGTTAGCATAACCCAAAAACAAAAATTAGCTGAAAATATACTCATACTCTTATATATTGGTCATCCAAGATGTAGATGAGTTTTTCTTCATTGGAACAGATTTGGAGAAATGTATAATTACATCACTTGCGTCACCAATGATTCCTCTGCAGTGAATGGGTGCATGTTTGTAAGAAACAAATCCATCAAGACATTTTTTAACTTCAAACTGCTGCTTCTGGCTAAAATATGAGTCCATAATCCATAATATTGACTTTCATCAATTGTCTCGTCTGAATCGGGAACTGTTTCAGCACTGTTATAAGCATAAAAAGCCAATAATAAAAAATAAAAAAAAAGGTTGGTGGATTTTGATGTGGAGACAACAGGGGATGGAATTTTTCACTGGTGTTATGGAATACAAACTCTTATTTTGGTTTAAAATGGTTGGAAGTTAAAATGCTATAATGATGAATTTGTTACAGCTTTTTGTTTCACTTAACATTAATTGATGGACTGGAGTTGTGTGGATTATTGTGATGTTTTTATCAGCTGTTTGGACTCTCATTCTGACGGCACCCATTCACTGCAGAGGATCCACTGTTGAACAAGTGATGAAATGCTACATTTCTCCAAATCTGTTCTGATGAAGAAACAAACTCATCTACATCTTGGACGGCCTGAGGGTGAGCAAATGTTCAGCAAATGTAAATTTTTGGGTGAACCATTTCTTCAAATTTCAAGTGTGTCACTGTAATAAAGAGGGGCAGGTGGGAATCAACATTGTCACAAGTTCTGCCAATTATACTGAATCTGGAATTATCTTACATGATAGACTAATATTTGACAACCACGAAGTGCCACAATACATTTGTCTTCACTCTCAACAGTATTTTGAGTTTTTTTTATAGTTTAAAACCTTGTTTGTGAAATGCTTCGCTTGAAAAGTATACAATTACAATCATTAAACAATCCAGGCTTCCTTGAATAATTTTAAACGAAGCCATTGTTGTGCTTCGAAACTAAAATCACAGCCTTTAAAATGGACAGGCACATAGGAAATCTCTGGGGAAAATATATATATACGTATATATATATTTTTTTTTTCTTGCATATCTACATCCTTGTTACTGTAAGTACAGTGCACAGCATAAATGAGTACACCCCCTCTGAATAAATATAAAAGATGTATTTTCTTAATGATCACTAATATGATTAATATAATTCATGGAAAGATTGAAACATATACTTAATAAAAACAACAAAATATATGCCAAGTAAATTAGCCCATTTTGTTTAAATGAAGGATTGCAGAAATGAGTACACCCTAGATTTAATTCAGAAAATGTATAATATTCTAGTACTTAGTATGTCCTCCAGAACTTAAAGTATACTGTTCTGACACTTCTTGGCACTGAGTGTACAAGTTCATGACAAATGTTCACATCTGTGCTGTTTAACTCCTGGAGGACGACCTCCTTAAATGCTCTGGTCTTTAATGGAGGAGTTTTGCTCAGCTCGTCTCTTCAGAATCCCCCACAGCTGCTCAAGAGCGTTAAGATTGAGTGAAATACATGTCCACTGAAGGATTTTCACCTTGGGAGAAGGAATATATTCATTGTCATGCTGAAAAAATGCCCAATAATGCAGGGAATGAGGGGAGGGTAGCATCTTCAGTTTCAGGTTTTTGTATTACATCACACAGTAGTGTGTGAATTCATGACAGCGTTGATAAAGCACAACTCCCTCACACCTTCAGCACTCATACATCCCTATATAAAAGCTTTACTACCACTGAATGCCACTGTGGGTACCAAGCACTTCTCTCTGTACTCCTCCTCTAGCAACACCTGAACATTTTGGATCTGAAATGATTGACTTGATCTCTTGAGACCAGAGCATGGATTCCCAGAAGTCTAGATTTTGTAAATATGGGCCTTGGAAGAGGTTAAATGAGTTTATTGTGCTTTGGCTACAGAAGGTAGGCTAATTCTAGTGGTGACAACAACCATGCATGTCACTTCTGCAGGCTGCGTCATACTCTGTGAGATAAAGTGTCACTCTTTTCACAGCTTTTGCCGGCTCTGAGACACTTGCATGTTATTTCTCCTGCTCTTTTTCTAGCAAAAATGCACTCATCACTAAATGAAAACTTAAAGTGAAGGCCTGATTATTTCAGGAGCCTTATCACAAGTCCACAAGTTTTTGAATGTTGGTGCTACTTCTGCAAGATTTTCACACTTAAAAAAATTATTTGGTATTCCTCTTGTACCATTGTCCTCTTTTATGCTAAGAAA